ATCTGATGCAAAAGCGAGTGTGAGATCGCAACTTCCTGCCTTAGATAGACGATTTGCCCACACACAGACCCCGAGGTTTGTGGCTTCGTTTCTGCTAAGCTGCTATGCTAGCGGTTGAGTCAGTTATGCCTAATCTCCGATCTTCGCTGATAAGTGTAGCGTGTGCGGTCAAAACTCCTCTGCATGAGTCATACGGAAGATCAAACCTTCAGAATGTTCTGCCGTAATATTGAACTGGAAATTACACCTATTAATATGACTATATTCTTCTGCAGCAAATCATCTCAGAAATGTTTTGTTCACTAGTTGATAAGGAGAGATGTTTTGCATACTGTAGATAGTCTAACCCTGAGCATCTTTATCGTTAATTTGTGCTTAAAATTAAGTGTAAAAATTAATAAAAAAACCTTGCACAGCCACAAAAAGATCATTCACTGTCAATAGCAATTATAGCAATAAGCATGCAGGTTATAAACTGGAACCACTGCTTATTACACCTACAACATTACTAAATCAATAAACAATCTGCAAACAATCCAAACAATAAATACAAGCATTTATGTAATATTAATACATTATATCAATAGATTGCATAAACAACTTACATTTTCTTTTTTTGCATTCTTTTAAATTGTTCTATTGTATCACAGGTTTAAAAATAATAAAATCAATCTCAATATTGTTCAATAATTTCATCCCTTTTATTGAACGCATCTGTGTTTATTCTTTTTGTTTTAAAGTATGAGAATAGGGAGTATTTATAGGACATAAAATACATTTTAAAAGTGTTTTGAAAGTATTTTAAAGGAAGACTGTGTTATCTCTTCTTGTCGGCAAAAGGCTGTGATGACATTGAGAAGCAACATTTATCTAGTTGGAGATGTAAGAGCATTTTAAGTGCTTATTTATGTACAGTATTTGTTAACAATTATGGTTTATATAATTGCACAAATATGTCATTCGGTATTTGATTGCAGCTATGGGGGCTCATGGAGGAGTTCTAGTTGTTGACAAATACATTAATTCACACTTTTATTTGTTATCAACCATTTTTTTGACAGTTACTTTAAAAATGTAAATATTTTACATATTGAAGATGGTATATGAGTTCAGACTTTGATGAATTGTTACATTTTTAACTGCCAAACCGTATTTAAATTGATAGAAATTTGATCCAACTTGACAGAAGGCAACAAACGCTGCTTATCAAAACATGAATAGTTATGAAATAATATGTAATACGAGTCACAGGGGCCATTTTTCTGTATTAAGTAATTTTACATTTGCTACTTTAAGTGAATTCTGCTGATAATGCGTAAGTGCTTTTACTGGAGTAACATGTTCAATGCTGGGCTTTAACGGTGTACTTCAGTAAAGGATGTGAATGAGTCCGTGAAAAATGCTCACGGTTGCTTCTTCTGTTTCTCCCTTTGACAGCTAAAGTCACTTCAGATAGTTCTGCTGGCCTCACATGTGTTTCTGCACAGCTACGTGGGGTTGATGTTTACTTACTGGTGTGTTTTAGCTCTGGAGAGTCTGAAACCACACAGGCACAGTTCTGAGCAGCTCTGTGATATCTTTTTCAGTTTGCACCTGTAACCACAGTCCACATCCAGGCAGCATGCACATGTACAATCTGACCACGGGCACCAGAGGCCATCATGCTGGTTTGGTTTCAGGGAAGGACTTTGTTTCTTGTTCCTGCAACGTTGTAGATTTAAAATTTTTTTTTTTATAGCAGTGACATTTTAATTAAATGCATCATTAACGAAACATGCTTTTAGAGAAACGTTTATATTTACGTCTTTCTACAAATTAATGCATGTGTTATGCATGTGTTATTGAAAAGATATACACATGTAAATACTTTATAAGAGTTAATGCTATCTCATGCTTTTCAACTAACATGCTAGCCTTTCATATTAGACTGAATGTTATAGGTAGGTTTCAATTTTCAGAACAGTACAAACGTTCAGACTCTCTCATGCGGCTCAAAGGTGAACTGCAGATATAAATGTTGAATAAAAGACGATGGAAGACATTTTGCTAATTTATTTGGCGACCCTGATAAAATCTCCTGCGACCCTCCTTTGGGTCCCGACCCAGTCTTTGGACTACAGTAAAGTGTCCAAACAACAAGTTTAAAAATACTCTGTTACAAGTAAAAGTCTTCCATTCATAGTGTGCATAAGTAAATGTACACAGGTCAGCAAAATGTACTCAACGTTTCAAAAGTAAAGGTACAGGTTATGCAGAAAACTGTCAGTTGTGACTGAAATATTATTACACATGATCATTACTAGAGAGTTAATCGCTGTTATTATTTTTAATACAGAGTTGCATATTGGATACTCTTGGAGCGTACAAGTATCTCAAACATTGTACTAAAGCATAGGACTTCAGTAAATGTAGTGAGTGTCTTTCCACCACTAAGGGATACGTCTTCTAGTTTCAAATAGTTTGTTGAATCAGGAAATCAGTGTTAGAGTTTTCTATGAGAAACAGTTAAGGTCGTCATTTTGAGAGAAAGGAAATCAACCTGACCTCCTCAACTAGAAGGCTTTGAATGATCTTGCTGCAGAGTGTATTAGTGAAATATGCCATATACCTCCGGTAGCCCCCTTAGGTCCTCTGAACTAGGCCTGCTGTTTGTACCTCATTGAAGATTGAAAAAAAAAAGGGCAAGGGACTGTGCCTGGGCCCCCAGGCTGTGGGACACCTTTTCCCCCTGGGAGCCGGCTCAGCAAACTAAGTCATTTGTTTTTAACCACTGGGGCGGGACATTTAGTGGGCCGCGGCGGTACTGCCAAAATGGCTAGCTTAAATTAAAAAATTGTCATTTGGTAATTTAGAAAGCTAGTTATCTTTATATCTAAATGCGCTCCAGAATTCACGTTAATAAAAAAAAAAGCCTTTAATGATCAGTTATGTGAATATCACCGCGCCATTCCCAACACATCGTCAGAGTAACACGTGTTTTGCCCCGTTAGCCTGTTAGCTAGCCAACGTTTCCTCGGATGCTGTGACACAAAATAGACAAACCTGCATTAGTAAAAGCTCCCAAGAGTGTGTTTAGGAAATATGACCCTGGTGTGACACTGGATACATTACATTTGGATTCATAATGGCTGGCAGGGATGGGGGGGGGGGATATTTATTTTGGTCATCGGAATCAGGCTGAAGCACATTTACAGCCCACTTTATGTTTCTGTTTTTTTGTCATGTTCTTTTTTTTCTCATTTATTTGGGAAGGTGGACTTCAAAATGTTGAGAACACTTGTTTTTAGGTCTGTTTGAGGGTCTTTGTGCTTGAATCATGTTCTCTATCCGAGTTGAGATGCTTCTAATTGTTTTTATTTTATGTGCTATTTTCATCATTTGTATTCTTTTGTCGAGCACTTTGTCGAGGTGCTATATATATATATATATATATATATATATATATATACTGTATATATATAAAACATTCAACTTGTGTCCTTACATGTGTGTGTGTTCAGGTTGAACGATTGCATCAAATGTAAATGGAGAGTTACATCTGAGTAATTGATACATTCATCTTCTTTGTCATTGTAGCTCAACAAATGTCAAAATAAATCAAATGAACCATTTCCGTCACGTTATTCAAAGTCTTGACGTCTCTGTTGAGGAAGCAGGATATTTCACTCTGAGCTTTTTGTAGTGCCTAGAAGCTTTTTTGATAATAGGCAGCAGGAGGTTGGTCGCTCTTTTTCTTTCTCAGTAAAATAATAAATCGTTTCCAAGAATATTAATAGCTTGACATTTCTCTGATGGAATGTGGCATTTGGCTCCCCTGATGACTGCAGTGTGTTGCTCCTTACAGCTCAGTCTTTGTATTTAAGGACTTATTCTCAGATGTCAGAATTACTTAAAGGGGTTCATACATTTCGCACTTATTAAAGGCAGTTGTCTTATATTAACGATGCCGTCATCGATTTTAAGACAACTATATGACATGTAGTCTGCTATGTGACTGAGATCTCAGTACAAATAAAACAAAAGGTTATTACGTTTTTAAATCATTTAATCCTATTTCTTACTCACAGAATATTGTTTGTTTTAGGATTGTTTAGGACTTACAATTACATTGTTGGGCACACTACCAATATAACTTTTGGCTGAGCAGTCATGTCGCATAATTGAAAAGTGAGAATTTAGATTTTAGCTTTAAAGCAATTATTGACATTTATTAACTATTTTTATAAATATCAATTTGAATCTACCAAGCCCCTCTGTGTTGCCGTGACATATTTATGATGAAAAAAAAGACACTTTAATTAGATGCAACTTTAAAGAATTGTAATAAATTCGAGACATCAGATTTTGTTAATTGCAAATTTTCTCAAATATTTTTTCTCCCCCAGTTGAGGCAGATATTGGGAGAATATTACTGGATTTGTTCGGGCGTACATCGCAGACTGTAAAAACTAAAAACCTACATTGCAATCTTTGCTAGAGGACAAAACCACATTTTTTAAAATACATAATGCGTAACAGTTGTAAAACATGCTGCACGTTAAATCACCTCACAATTTACCAACGGACATGAATTTTACAATCTCATGAAATCTGTAGCGGCTCTAAGATACTCATGTGCTCTTGCACATTCATGTTTTTGCACTAGTGTGTCTCAAATGATGAGAGTGAATTTTAGTGCTCACATATTTATTTTACACAAATAAAACTATGTAAAATATTGTATAAGTTGTATATTTTTGTAGCCTTCACGGCTGATTTATTCAGGATATTTTGGTCGCAAATAATAAAAAATAAAATAATATTTCATATTAGGCTTTTCTTTAATGCCGCAGATCCTTCACCTAAATGAGCCATTCAGTTTTCCTTCATGAACCATATCTGTGAGTGTGACTCTCATGCACCACAGCATGTAACAGCTCATGTCCGTCTTCGGTGGGCACATCCTTGGCAATATAAAGCGGAGCCGATCACTCGTCTGCCTCACTCTCATGACAGGTCATGTGCTGTGGCGATGATGTGGTTCCTCCTTCTACTCCTCTGCACAGCTCACAATCAGCCGCTGATTGTTCAAGGCAAGTTACAACTATTGTCTTTAAAGTCAACTCTCTGTATCTGGGACCATTTCAACAGTTTATATAAGTCAAGCATAGCAGTTCTGGAAGGTAAACGCATGCAGGTGCTGCAGGAAATGTCTTGCTGAACCTTAAAAAAAAAATGTTTTTATCATTTCCTGAAGGTAAACGCTCCAATGAAAAGATAAGGGGTTGTGTGAACAGCACAGTAGTTTATTAGAATTACACCCGTTAGCAGCAATGTAGCGACTATGGTTCCAGTCTAGAAGTTTAGACACTATTTTTTTGACATTTTCTTTTATCAAGGTTTAAAAATGTAAGTGCCGCTGTCAGCGTTTGACAGCCTCAATTTAGTGATGCGGACTGACTCGGCACATTTTGATGTAAGGTTAGAAGCTGAATAATAATAGTACAAAAATATTGTATATATTATTTGACTGTGATGTGTAGAAAGAAACCCCATGCATCATGTACATTTCAAATTTGTACCAATTTCATATCTTTCATAAAAAATGTATGAGGGTGACCAAAAGTCATAGCACGTGTCCTCTGTATGATAAATTAATTCCTATTATGTAAGTGCTTATGTAAGTCTCTTGATATAGAAGTTACATCGGAAGACTTTTGTCTAAATTACATTTAGTAAAGTCTGTGTAAAGCAATGTGGGTGATATTTAAATGAAGATAATCTTGAGTTGTTTTGGATTAAGTAATTTACAGGTTGCAGTGAATGTTTTCTTCATGTTTGACAACATATACATATATATATATATATATATATATATATATATATATATATATATATATACATATATACATTGTATAGTGATTAAAACAGAAATAATAAAAGCAAATACAATATAACAAAAGAGATGATAAAAGAGTAAGGAGCAACACAAAAACATTCATAGCATCACAGGTTAAAAGTAGATTTAAATAGATGAGTTTTAAGTGCAGTTTTGTCTGAGGTGCTGGGGGAGGGAGTTCCAGAGGGATGGGGCAGCAATGGAGAAGGCCCTGTGCCCCCAGGTCTGATGTTCGGACAGAGTAGGGGGGTAAGGAGGCGTGTGGGAGCATGTCGGTGCAGGAGGTATGAAGGTATGAAGGGGTTCAGGGTTATGAAGGGCTTTGTATGTGATGAGGAGAATCTAGACCTGGATTCTGGATGTATTGTAGTTTATTGATGATTTTGGTGGATGAGCCGTACAGGATGCTGTTGCAGTAGTCCAGTCGAGAGCTGAGTGTTTCAGCGGCTGAGGAGGAGAGGGAGGGGTGGAGACGGGCGATGTTTTTGAGATGAAAGAAGGCAGTGTTTGTGATGTGAATGACGTGGCGTTAAAAGGAGAGGGTTTGATCAAAAATGATCCCTAGGTTACGGACATGTGTGGAAGCAGGAACAGTGGTGCCGGGAGAAGGTGAAGTCGTGGTGGGATTTGTTCAGTGATTTGAGGCCGATTTCAGATTTGTCATTGTTAAGTTAGAGAAAGTTGGCTTGCATCCAGGTTGATGGTGGAGTGGGTGGTGATGTAGAGCTGGCTGTCATCAGCATAGCATATGTATATACAGTATACTGTATATATATATATGTTTATATTTATATATATACATATATATAAATTATTTTTAAGTACTTGGGTTTGAATCAAGCTTTTTTTTGACAAAGATTGACCTAAAGAGATATTCCTCGAAATACAGAAATGACCGATTTGTAAAATAAATTTTTTTTCTCTATAAAATCATTTCTTTATTTGCATGTTAAAGTTGCGCTAAACATTTTGAACTAATAGTAACACATGATAGGGTATTCAAAATGGGGGGAAAAAAGAATGTTTCATCGTAGTGAGAGTTCATGTTTCTGTGACAGCTAAAAAAGCCTTCAAGACGACAGAGCTCACACATCTTTGCAAAGTTTTTATAACATTTGACTCAGTGAAAAGCACTTTTTGTCACAGTAAAATGTGTAGCGATAACTTATAAAAAAGAAAATGAACAGATGAAGCCCACAAAATGGTGACTAATACCCCCACTGGTATATTTACACACTTCTATAAACCTCCTGCCGTGTGACCAGGTGAGGAGAGCACCATTCTGTTACATGGGAGAAACCCATGCGAAGGCTACATCGGGATCTACCACAATAGCACATTGGGCTACGTTGGGGGGACAAACTGGAACGATAATAACGATAAAGTGGTGTGCAAGAGCATTAACTGTGGGGTCCCCAAAGAGAGGTCGTCGATGCCCACGCCAGGGCCCATCGAAAAGGTCTGGATCGACGAGGTGAACTGCAAAGGAGACGAGAGTAATCTGTGGGAATGTTCATTTCCTGGCTGGGCCGTCATTCCCCCCCCAATGGGTTCTCTGCAAAAGATTACATGTTCACGTAAGGCTGAGCTTTTACACTTATTAAGATACAAAATGTGCTGCTAAAAGTTTTCCTAAATATAGAAAATTACATGATGATGATGATGTAATTGGATTACCTGTGTTTGCTCCTCTAGATAAAATCAGTATAAGCCTGGATGGATTTAGGTGTGCGGGAGCTGTCCAGTACTCCAAAGATGGAGGGGACACGTATTCGGGTTACTTTTGTGATACCAACTGGGGTAAGAGTTAGCATCATGCATACAGTGCACTTCAACAGCATTCAGTCTTGACCCAGTGGGTAGAAGACGTACTGCACTCAAAATTCTACTTCAGTAAATGTATGAAAAGTGGGCCTGTTATGCATCAATGTGTATTTTACTGCTGGTGGAGGTGCAGTAGTTTTCTCTACTTTGTACAAAGTCAGGTAGTTCCCAACCTTGTGGTCCGCCCCCCCCCTCAAAAGGATCACAAGATAAATCGGAGGGGTTGTGAGATGAGACGAAAGTGCTACTTCAGAAATGTGTTTCCATTTTTTCCTCCTGCTTTTGCTTCTTTTCTTTTTTTTTTGGTGTGAAACATTCTAATCTTTGGGCCTCAGGTATTTATTTAAAGTGACTATGAGGAACTTTGAACTGGTTCTGAAACAGTCTCAATTTAATACTGATGTCTCTATATGACCTATGTAAGTAAACGAGACCGTCAGCGAGAAAATTAGCTATTTCTACAAAGTAATTCTCAAAGCTCTTCTGTGCCACCGGGGTTAGATTCAGTGCAAAATCAGATGAAATCATGCAGGTTCACCAGAAACTCCTTCCGGGCCTCTGACCAGCAGAGCTTCGCCTCACTGGGAGCCAACAGAGACACCGCGCTGCTGGAGGCCCAGGCCGTATTACTGGGCCTGCTGGAGGGAAGAGAGGCACAGGAGCACCAGAACCTGGAACTGTGCGGAGCAGACTGTCAGACCCTGCTGCGGTAAAATGAGAGGTTTTCTAAAAGGGACTCTGGTGCTCAGAAACACTACCGCTCTCGTCAACAGGGACCGCCAAAATCGACACAAAATCGACACAAAATGAAAGTTCCTCGTAGTAACTTTAAATGAAACCACCTGAGAAGTTTAGAGGGGAAGGCAGTGGGACAACTTATAACTCAACTTTTTTTTTTTTCTCCTTCTATATTTTAAAGCTCAAAGAAGTTTTGGTGTTCACTTTTGACTTTGTAACGCATTTAAATGGATTTGTTTGGGTTAGGTGTTGTGATATGTTTAGTAGTATGATGATGATTATTCAACACTGTACATGTGATTCCTCTCACATAAAAGACAAGACTGCTGACCTTTTGTGCAAAACCCTCAACTGCGGCACGTCCAAGAAGATTGTTCAGCAGCCATGGATGGGTTGGAAGGGATTTAAAGAAAAGAGTGAAAGGATGAAGATCAATTGTTTGGGTAATGCCACTCATCTGTGGCAGTGTGCCCAACCGCTGGAAAAAACTCCTTGCACCAACCCTGCTTCTGTCATATGCACAGGTAACACACACACACACACACACACACACACACACACACACACACATACATACAGTCATTAAGTTTACTCGAGTGTTGCAGAGAATTAAGAAATGGTTCATGAACAGATCACGAGAGAGTGCAACTCAAACCAGACGCATCAAATGTATGTTCCGGAAAGTTGCTAAAAGAGGAAAAAGACGTCTGGAACCCTGTCCAAAACAACAAAACCGATCCTAATGACTGGTGCAAGCAAATGCACTGTGGCAGCAGCGTCAGTCACAGTCAGGATGACAACGGCTCACATCTGACATGTTCAGGTATTTGAGCTAATTCATATCCAAACCTCATCTTTCCCACAAGCAACCACTAATTTGTTGAATTTCCAGATCATCAACAACTTTGTTCACCATGATTTTTATTCCATCTCTATATCTTGAGCCACTCGGAAAATATTAATCGTGATATCAAAAACCACTTTCCTATGTTTGTTTTGTTTTTTCCTTCACAGACGATATTAAAGTGGTTCTGATGGTGAATAATAAACACACCAGGTGCTATGGTTCAGTTTATGTTGAAGTGAATGGCACAAGTCAACCGGTGTGCGCCTCCAACTGGAACGACGAGGCTGCTAAAGTGGTTTGCTCGGAGCTAAAGTGTGGGAGAGTGAGTTTTCTGAACCAGAAGTTCAGTAGCCGTGTTTACATGTTGCATTCACGTACATTTATGTGCATTAGATAAACCTGTATGGGAACGGTAAAATCCGCCCTAAAAACTTCTGCCGTAGCAAACATTTAACTTGTGTGTCTGAACAGCTGTTTCTGCTGGTTATTCCCATAGCGTGCCGACGCTCGTCTTTTCGACTCCTGACAGTATGAAACATGGCTGATACTTGCTAAAATGAAAGAACTATTAAAACTTGACCAATAGAAAGAAATTCCCGAAGACCTCTCTCCATGTTTCTCTCGTTAAGGGACTTTTGGTTTATAACCGCTTCTTCTTCTGACGGATTACAGCTATGTAGCCTATAGCGTCGACTTCTGACCAAATTATGCGCCGAACTAGCATTTCTTTTTGTGGCATTTTAAAAAGTTTGCTTAAAAATGCTTGACAATTGAATGGAAGCACGGCTAGTGGCACTTCTAAAATAAATGTTTTATTTAATGCAAGCCCATGTAACTTTGCTCAATAGCAGCCACTGTGGCCACAAGTGACAGTTACAGGATAATGGCAAATGTATAGTATAGTATAATATAGTATAGTATATCAGTTGCAGAAGTAGAGAATAAAGTCATGAAGTCAGCAAAATGACAATAATATAGAATGTGTGCTAACATTAGCAAACATTAGCAGCATACATTTATTTACATAAGTTACATAGTCTCGCTTTAAATGTCGAAAGAAACAGTTTGACATTTTTGAAAATACTCTCATTCACTATCTTGCTGAGAGTTCCATCAGAGGATCAATACCACTCGCATATCTTTTCGTCAAACATGAAACCAGGAGACGATTAGCTTAGCTTAGCGGTAAGGCTGGAAACTAACGGGGAGGGCTTTATTACCTCTAGGCTAGCTGCTTCCCCCCAGTTCCAGTCTTCATGCTAAGCTAAGCTAGACATCTCCTGGCTGTAGCTTCATATTTAACCGACAGATGTGAGAGTGGTACTCGGTCTTCTCATGTAGCTCTTGACAAAAAAGCCCAAAAGGTCAAAATATTCCTTTTGTGTTTTTTTATTTATATCCGCAGTGCCTATGAGTATTATTATTATTATTATTAGTAGTAGTAGTAGTAATCTCATCAAAGTAATTTTTACTGTTCTTTTTCAGTCAATCAATATCTTCAGTATAGCAAAATTGAATGACATGATATTGACATTATCATAACGGCTTTCTTCTAGGTGTTTCGTACAAGTAAGAAGTCTAACACACGGGGGATAATGGACCACGTGTCGTGCTCAGGCAACGAAGCCTCACTGTGGCACTGTAGAGCCAAACGTGACAACAACAACCCTCTTTCATGTACTTCCACCGCCTACGTAGTCTGTTCAGGTGAGATATGGCAGGAGTCATATGGTGATAGTTCTTCCTGTTATTTTTAACTTTGACATGATGGTGGAAGCAAAGATTTGTGTGATGTCATGTTGTGATACGAAGTATAGTGTACATCCAATGTAATTTATTTCTGCCCATGTGGGTGCAAAATGAGCACGTGTTACATGTTTGACAATTCTCTTGCTGTCATGGAGCAGATAGCATCGGAGTGAGATTAAGAGACGGTCCTGGAAGATGTGCCGGGAGACTGGAGATCCAGCATGAGGACACATGGCAAAGGGTTTTCAAAGGATTGTCCAACAGCGACTCAGGTTTTGTCTGCAGACAATTGGACTGCGGTAAAAAAGGAAAATCCGATGATGAAAAATTCAGCCAGGGTTCAGGTAGATTTCTGGCTTATGCTGTACAATGCAAGAACAAAGCCAAAGACATATCTGATTGTCTCAGAGAAATCAACAAACTCATGGGGAAGGGGAAGGCAATGGAAATAACCTGTGAGGGTGAGTGTTTTTTTTTTCTTTCCATTTGTCTGTTTTTCTCATTCATCGAATCCAACCTGTCAGGTACAGCAGAGAGGTGCAGACACTCAAGTGAACTTGATTCTAATACAGCAAGGTCAAAAGAGTCCACCTGGAGTTTGTATGTGAAATTTGACTCCACGTTTTAGCCCTCTGATTGTCTCACCTTGTGAAAAGCGCATTAGCAAATACTATTTATTTTATTTTATTTTTTCATTACACATCCAGCTGACATGGACTGATATTAGCATCCAAGTCGTGTTTCAGGGTACCTGACAGTCCAATATTCGCTCTGCTATAGCACCAACTCCTGAGAGAAATATTAGGTAAATTTAAAACAAATGTTCCACTATGTTCACAAGCTAGTTGCTACCGTAACGTGGTTGATGATATTGGTGATACTGAACCAAAACAGTGAAGTTGCAGACTGTACAATCAACCCAATTAGCTGGAAGACGCTAAACTGCTAAACTTTAAAACTACATCTCACCATTTTCATGATTGTTATAAAGTAACTTTCTGTATTTGCTAACCCTATCTTGTGAGGAAAGAAGGGTGGACACGTTACTAGTCTATAATAACCTAATACTAACAGCCTGTCTTTCTTTTGTCCCTGTCAGAGCACAAGATGGTTTTTCTGAAGGAGTCCTGTTCCGGCATGGTGGGGATAGAGCAAGGCGACAAAATCTACTGGCTCTCCGGCTCTAACACGACATGGAACCAAGAGTCTGCAAACACCGTGTGTCAGCAGATGCACTGTGGGAATGCCTCAGTCGTTACCTCAATCTCTAGCGATAATTTGGCGATATCCATTTGGAAAGAATCTTACAGCTGCTCATCCAACAACGAATCTCTGTTTAACTGTAAAAAAATCGAAACACTGCCATCTGACCATGCAGACACTATTGCCACCGTGACATGCTCAGGTAATGTGAAATTACATTTTTGAATTGAAAACTCGTCTTTTATTCGTCATGGCCATTAATTATTACGTCACCGGTTGTCCTGTGATCAAGTTTAGAGATATATGAATGTAGACAAATGGTTCTGTTCTGAAATAAATGATGCAAGTCTGCATACAACATCCTTTTGCTGTTTGGTTTTCACGACAGGAAAAATTACAGTGGCGCTGGACAAAGAGTGTTGGGGCAATGTCAGAGTTTGTTTGAACAACACGTGCGGAGGGGTGTGTGCCGACACCTGGACAGTTGAAAAGTCGGAGATGCTGTGTAAAAATCTGTACTGCGGTAAAGCCCTGATTGCCACCGCCCAGCCTAAACAAAGCCAGGTCATTTTCAAAAGTGTGCACTCCACGAATGTGACGACCAACCTGACCCAGTGCAACTTCGTCAGAAATGATGACAATGTCAAGACGTGTGTCCCAGCCTATGTTGTCTGCTCAGGTAATTGATTTAAAAAGAATATATATATGTATATATATTCAAAACCAATATTATTTTGAAAATTAGATGTTTATCCTTCTGGTCATCTTCACCTTCATCACTTCACATTTCAGTTGATTCTTGACCCTATAGGTAATATTTTCAATTGTATCCTTCAGGTACTCTGTTTATTAGGCAGCTACCTGAACATCTCAAAGATTCCAGTGAAATCTAGAGGCAACTTAGACCGAAGAACAACGTATTCGTTATATGCCAAATCATTTTACATCAAAACAAGTTGCTCTTCACATGGGAAAAATACTTCCTCACTCCCAACTTGTCAAAAACTGAGGCTTTATCAGTGGCCCTACAATTCAAGCTATGACGCTCTAGGTACCCTGCTAGCGCCAGGGAAATGTTACATGCTCGTACAACATAAGTTTGCTTAGATTTTAGGTTACTTAGTTAGGTTTAGGAAACCAAACTTCTTGGTTAAGTTTAGGAAAAGATCGTGGTTTGGGTTGAAATAACTGTGCTCGTTACGAAGTGTGTACGCGGTTTTAGTGAAGTACATAGTAAATGACGTAAGTAAAGTACGGTAAAATAAGTGGTGTTGACTTTTGGTGTCACACGGGACATAAACAGCGGCCTCCTGGGGGAAAGTCTATGTTTGTCTGACGGGACCCCCTGACCTCCCTAAGCGGACTTCCTTACTCCTTATACTACCTCAGATAAGTTTACATTGGAGTTAGTTGGAAGCCTGGTGCGTCTCATCCTAAAGGGTGCCCCGGTGTGTCGTTATCAGACGGCGGGAGCCGCGGACCAAGCGTCTCTATTTGACGAGTTGAGATTGAGAACGGGTTGGGAAAAAACCAACAATCAATTGTTTATTTCTCTGTCTTTGAACAAATGGCATAAATAACATAAGGGGTCTAACTTGGTAACTTGAATTGTTGCGTTGCAGGTAGCGTCAAACCCAGATTTAATGATCCAAGAGATAAATGTTCTGGAAATGTGGAGGTGCACTATGAAGACAAGTGGCTCCCAGTTTGCGCCGGTGCTCTCAAAGACAATAACATAAACACAATCTGTGAGGAGCTGAAATGTGGTAAAGCCGGCAAACCGATCGCCTACTTCGGACCTGAGGCAGCACGGCCTTATTCCATTACAGAAATCCAATGTTATGCAAACAAGTTATTCGGGGCATGTACTATCAAGCCTGAGAAGACCTCCTGCGATCGAGGTGCCCTCCAATGCTCCGGTATGTCAAATGATTTTGTCTCAAATTAATCAATTTCAACATGTCTTCCTTAATCTTAATCACAGTGTAAACTAATTAACGTATGTAATCTGCGTCTTGAGTTCTTGCCACGTAATAATTTTTGTACATTTCCTTAATCTTATCTCACCTCTGCCTGGATGCTTTTTGTTGTTAGAATGGAGAAAGATGGCGCTGGCTACAGAGAAGGCCTGTAGCGGAGCTGCGATGGTTCACTCGGAGGGGAAAAAAAGTGCCATTGTCTTTGAGGGCTGGACAGAAACTATGGGGGAGAAACTTTGCAAGGATTTGGAATGTGGCCCATTGAAGAACAACACAAAAATAAATTTTTGGTCTTTTTTGAACACAAGCTTCAGCTGTGCAGATGTAGAGGATCCAAACAAAACCATCTGGGACTGTGAAAAGAAAGTCTCTCCCTTCGGTGAAAGTCAATCAAAGCCGCAACTCTTGATTGAATGTCAAGGTAAAATGAATTGTCTGCAGGATTGCCTTTGTAAATGATCATAGTATCTTCACTAAGAAAAACTACTATTACTATAGCTGTTTTGTTTTTACAGACGGCAAGCTTAGTGTAGCTTAGCATAGCTTAGCAGAAAGACTCACAGGAAGCAGGATAAAACAGATAGCATGGTTCTATCCAAAGATTAAAAAAGAAACATTAAAGCTCACTAATTTACTAATAATAATTTTCAGGGGGTTATGAGTTCAGCTATTTCTAGCTAACTAGATATTCCAGCACATAGCCCTCCAGAAAACCGCCGTCGTTGCTCCTTTTGATATTTGATCTTGTTACTATACTGCTTTCCTTCCTAGGTGAACCCGAGGTCACCCTTTCAAAGACATGGTACAGTAACGTGATGATAAATGGCACAGAGGTGTGCGACAGTAACTGGAAGGAGAACGACTCACATATGGTTTGCCGACAGAATAATAGGAGCAAAGCCATTACCAACACCTCCCATAATGAAAATCCTATCCAAGGTAAAGACTACTACCATGTCAGTTGTGAGGACAACCATTATGCACTTGGCCAGTGCAAGAGAGCCCTGGGACAGTGTACAGGGAAGTTGGTGTCCGTTTACTGTGTTGGTAAGTATGATTGTGTGTGCTTTTTGTCCAAAATGCAGAGAATTCATCTGATCTCCCTGTCACCTTGTCTGAAGAAATATTATTAATATTATTTTAGAGGAAAAAAATATGTTAGCAATGAGCCAAATTAAGTTTTTAGGGCCCTCACACCTTGTTTTTCCACGTTATTCTTGATTCTTCCATTTTATCACAATATAAAATATTTATTTGTTTGCACATTTACGTAAAATACACGGTTTCTCTGTTGATGCCTTGAAAGTGTCCCCTGAGAGTGACATCATTTTTCTGATCTTTGCAGCCGAAATAGTGAATCCCTTCCAATACAGAATGAAATACAGTACAGAAATGTTTTGACGCGCTTACTCTTCGCTCTGTTTGCAAGAGAGCCATGTTCAAAATATTGACGCAACTCTCACGTCAACTATAGCCAGGAGACGATTAGCCTAGCTTAGCATAAAGATGAGGAGCAGTGGGGAACAGCTAGCCTGGCCGTCTCTATCCCAAAAAAAAAAAGAAGCAACTCATCCTTTTTACACTTTGGTTTTAATACCTTTGGACCGAGCCAGGCTAGCTGTTTCCCTCTACTCCCAGTCTTGATCCTCAGCTTAGCTCACCGTCTCCTGACCCCAGCTTTATATTAACGAAACGGATATATTAGAGCATTATGGTTCATTCTGTCGAATTCCCGGCAAGAAAATGGATCAGCCAAAATGCCAACCTACTGTATTCCTTTAAACATAATTCCTTTTTTCAATTTTTATCATTTTTACAGGCAATGCCCAGTTCAACACCACAGAAAAATGTGGAGGTCAGATTCAAGTCAAATATCGAGAGAAATGGGAAAAAGTGTGTCCCCTGACATCATTTAGCAAGACACATTCTAAAATGCTGTGTGAGCAGCTTAGCTGTCATGGCTACAAACAGATGCAAAGCAAATACAACGACATGGTAAATCTTTGAATTTCCACTGTTTTGTTTGTTTCCACTCATTAGTAGGGTGACATCACAGGATCTTCTGTTTCACTATATGCTGTTCATTCAGCCCTCACTTGTAGCTGTCAGGCTGCATTTAAAAGTATCCCTTTTGAATTTCAAGGTCGACTTGGAAACATCACTGAGTTGCACCGCTGATAACCAGGACATCAAGCACTGCCTCAGCCAACAGTCTTGTAAGGGAGAAAGACCTGCTGAGATCTACTGTGACGGTAACCAAAACCACAAATCCTTTTCCCCAATAAGTCAAGCTTGTTCCCCAAATATCCATTCAGTTGTCTGGCATCGGAATCCGCTTTTCGCAATCTGTAAAATCTGAATTTATTCAACATCGATTAACGTGTCACAGAATGTCTAGAAGAATCCAGCAGCATCTCGGCTCTGTGAGTAAAAGACAAGGTGGCTGTGTTTGATTTCAGAATATGTGGCCCAACCAACCAAGCAACCCGATCCGCTCACGACCCCCATATGGCCTACAATGCTGGTGGTAGGATTCGCTCTGGTTCTGGTGATATTGATTGTCGTGTTCATTCAAATCTACAAGAAAAGCTCGAACGACTTGCGTGAGTATATTTTTCTATCACAACCTGTCTTACTTTTTATTGCTTGAGTTACAATTGAGTATTGGTCATTTGTTTCATTTTTAATGTCTTGAAAAAGTGAACCATTCTAACAGAGGTAATGAATAAAGATGTACTGGAGCCTTCTACCACAAGAGGCCAGACGTTCTGCATGCTGACTCATTTCTGACTGCTGTATGCTGCTGTATAAGACCATCAAAAATAACAGCTGCTTTTGTCCAGCATTTATATTTCAGCTCAAAACTCTGACTTTAAAAAGAGTTTAATATACGCATGTGCTGTCCTGACCAGTAAACATCTCATGCTCTCTTTTTGTGGTGTAGCTGGAATGTTGTCAAGAAAAGAAGTGGAGATTGAAAGTGGCAGCTATGACGACGTGATGAGCAAATCAAATGAAATGGAGGAACTGAATCATGGCAGTGAGTCGTTGTTTTATTTGAATTTTTTGTGTGTAATTTCCTAAACAATTTGAAGAAGAGTGAATCCTAGTTTTATATCACCAGTATTTACATGTGTGCAGTGTGGTAACATAAGATAAGAAAAGATAATATAGAAATGTATGAATCCCAAAGGAGATTGCGCAAAAAGAGTAGCAAATATAGATAAAATAAAAGAAGTAATATTAAAATAAAGGGAAATAGAATAGCAATAAGAGTAGGATCAATTTGACTGAAATAGAAATGTAAAATACAACAATATAAGAATAAAAAACCGAAAGTGAATAAGACATAATGCTAACACCAGTGCCTAATATAATAACAATAAGAGTACCATTGTGCATGGCAATGAGAGAACATTGGAAAAGGTATTGAATTTGAATATTATTAAACATGATATTGACGTAATATTGCACGATGTTGCAAAAGCAATATTTTACAGGAGATGAATATAATTGTTCATATCGCAGTATTTCATTTTACATTGCATTATGTCAGCATCCCAGCGATATTGCTATCATTGTGCTTTTATAATATTATTATTATATATATGTTATATTATAATATTTTTTATAGTGTATATATTATAAGTATACTTCTACACACAGTCTATATAACATCATAACACTAATTAATAACACATTCAATGTCACCTCTCTAATGACTTTCTATCTCTTATTTTAGTTTCTATTTATTTCATTCAAATCGTCCTCTCTTTGTTGTCGTACCTCTGTTCTGCTTCCTTGGGGATGAATTGAGTCTCAACTTCAATATTCACACTTGATGTCAAAGTAAAAATAAGCACAGACTTGGAATATGGAGAACATAATTTTCATTTGAATGGTTTAATTGCATCGTGATTTCGAAACGCAGGACGATGTGAGCGTATTTGTTAAAGGCGCATGAATGTTGTTCACGCAGGATTGAGATCCGAGTCTGAAGTCGTGATGGAGACCGACGCGCCGAGCACTTCCTCATTTCCTTACGATGACATCGACAACCCGGCTGCGGCTCAGCCGCTGATCTCTCAGGCCGCCACTGCCGGCGCCTCAGGAGGCGACTGCATCCAAAGTTCCGAACCAGTTTGATCACATCTTTTTACACACCAGAATACCAGTACTGTGACAAAGTCTCGCATTGTCAGCAATCAGACTAACTAAATCCAACTGTTTTCACAGATGGGGCGATTTACGAGGTGGACGACCAGCAGGAGAATCACGAGGACATCGAGGCCAGCCCTGAAATCACTCGGACTGAAGCTCAAGTCCACGACAGCACCCAAACCACACCTGAGAGCGATGCAGCGGCACCTCTAGGATCAGTGCAGGGGGATTAGGACTACCTGGTGCCAAGACGGGTGAGCCAAAACTGAGTTTGGCTAAGCAAAGCGGATCTCCCCAAAAACCTAGCTCCCATAAACTATGGGAGCTAAACTCTGACACAAACATACTAAAAAAAAGTCAAAATTACAGATGGGTAAGCAATATTACAGTACCCGGTCTTTGTATGCTACAGAAATTTGCTGAAGGGGTTAAAATAAACTTAAAATTTTATGAATAGAAGAAAAAAAAGCATCTCTAGATGAAACAGAGTGAATCATCCATACTCTGAAATACTGATAATTTCGGATAAGACAATATTGTATAGATTATGAATAGAAAAAGAGTCTTAGAAATGTCTTGTATACACAGAAAACACGATCTGATTGAAGTGTGTTTTAGCTCATCATTTTGCGTATTATCAGTCATCACAAACAAAGTGTTAGCCGGTGAGGAAAAATGCCATCCCTCTTCAAATGTAGTAGATGAAAGTGATGCGAACTTAGAGCCATAAGCATAGTTGCAATAACAGCTTTCTGATTTTCTACTGCCTGTTGTTGATTTTATGTTTTTTTTTAATTAAATGTGCTCATGATGGTTTAGAATCATGTAGGATTTTATGATTTGTTTGTTAAATCTGATGCAGTAGTTTCTGTTGTACAAAGCTTCGATGATTTAAACAATATTTTATGAGAAAATGTGATTGCTATAAAAACATATATGTGAACAATAGTAGGTGAAAAAATTGTCAAACGTGTATAAAATGGTATAACACAGCTGATAGTGTAAACCCATATTATCACATGGTTACATTGTATATTTCTGTGTAAGTTCATAGTTGTAAGTTGTAAGAATGTATAACATTGAGATTTTACAGTCACATTCATCTTTAAAAAAAAAAAAAAGAATAGTTGCTGAGAGTTCGATGACGATGTCTGTACGGTGAATACGAAGCAATGCTCACTGAGTCAGTCTGAAAGGAAAAACAATAAACAAAAGGCACATCGGTAATAAGATTCATCTTAATAATTAAAATAGCGGCATTTATAAGTTAACAATAAATAGATACAACATAAATAAATTTGAATCAGATTTTACTTTTCAAAGCAAAGATTTGACTATTTGTACCGTTTTATTTTTTAATATAAACTGAAAAATCTAATTTCAGTGATAAATTCCACCACAGTAACATTGTCAAATGCGTTTAAGTACTATTTGACAATATATTGTCTTGCTATAGAATAAAGAGAGCTAGCCGTTTCCCCCTGATTCCAGTCTTTGTGCTAAGCTAAGCTAACCATCTCCTGGCTCTATAGCTTCAGATTTACCTTACAGACGTGATAGTGGTAACGCTCGGCAAGAAAGCAAATATACATACTTCCAAAATTGTCAAAGTGTTTTTATAAAACGTGAATATAACGTTCAGTTAGCTGTGAATGTCGTCTTTTATTGTGACTTCAACAACAATGTGTGTGTTGTCAAATTGGCGAATTACTTTTAACTGTTGTAAAATGATCTCTTTCCCTGTGTCGTATTCATTGCATTGTTTTTGATTCTTGTAAAATTGCCATTTATCTTGCCACTTCATGTTACACAGTTCACAATTCAGTCAGTGCATCATGGCATCGGCTGTGAAGCAGTCAGTGTATCTTGTGGCAATGCTCCATTGTATTAGCCTCGTGTCAACAGCAGCTTTGTGCAGCACAACATTAAATTCTTTGCAGAGACGTGGTGTGTGTTGTGTTACCACTTTTAGGTTTTATCCTCCACTTGCAACAGGTGATACCCCAGAGATTCAGAGCGTTTTTTTGGAAATGGCTCAGATGTTGAGTATCAAACTGTATGTTATATATGCCATATATAGTTTGATACACAGCACAATAAGCCTTCTTCACAAGACTCCAATCGCAGAGCGACTCAAGATTGCCTCAAATTCAGCGCTGCTCTCATCTTTGACAATATCTTATGTCGCTTTCTGGTTGTTTTTTTAATTTTTAAATTTGTTGAGTTATTTTTAATTAATTAGTTGTGATTTTTCCCGGCATTTATCACACAGTGCCGAGCGGTCACCCCGGACGTCAAACAAATGTAAAATGAGTCCAAACAATGTGGCTCTGCTCAAAACATTTTGAATACAGTTTCATCCCCGTGCACTTTAACAGTCTCTATAATCACTTACACATCCCCTCCCCCAGTAGTGGAGACACAGAGAGAGAGAGCAGCTGCTCGCTACAAATGTTAACATGAGTAGTGCCATCCGCCAGGGACCGACAGACACACTGGTGCTGCTTTCAACAGACTGAGAGACCCCGCTAGAGCCCCACATATTTAGTCAGGAGTTATCCAAGGGCCACTGAGATCACAGAGCCAGCGATACACCCAAAGGGACTAATTTGAAAGCAGCAGCCCTCCTGTGATATGTAAACATCACGCCCAGCCTCGATGTCAGGGGCCTTGCTGAGGGATCAAGATGCGGGATTAAGTCTGCCGTGCGACTGGAGCTGAAATAGATACGGCGGAGACAAAGTGGTCTGTAAGGTTTTCATTCAGTCTCAGTAAGCATTCAGTCAGACTTGTAAGACTTTAATAAGTAATCTGCTTTGTTTACCACAGAGCTGATCCCTTGGCAATAAAACTGTGGTGAGCAAACTCTGGTCTCTGTGATCATCTGACCCTGTTTATGTCTGGCGTTATACTGGAGTTTTTTAGCCCTCAATATCATGTTAAATGTATCATTTCCCAAAAAATACCATTGTTCTCAGGAATGACAATGTCAGCCGGCCCACTACTTGGGTCCAGACTGAAATAATTCTTTATCTTATGTGAATTTCAGTTTCAGTCTTTTATCATATTTTTAGTTTCAAGAGTTTTTTGTTGCTTCACTGTCACGTCCTTTAAATGGAACCTTTCATGTTCTGAAAGAACAAAGGACCACTTGTCTTGAAATGAGCCCTCTTGCCATTATGCATCCGGGACACTCTGACGTGTCTCCTCTGCTGGCTCGCGGCTCTAGTCCTCAATTGGAACCAAAAGTTTCCTCAGACACCTCACGGTGTCTTTTTAAGGAGGTAACATATAGAAGACATCGGCTGAGAGAAAGGCCCCAGTTGTGGTGATTTTCCAACACAAACAATATGGTATTATTAATAGTGCTCCCTATTTGGTGTCATCCAGAATGCCTGGATGTGTGTGCGTGTGTGTGTGTGTGAGACAGACAAGACAAGAACGGTGAGAGAGAGGCCGCGTCAGGCTGCCTGACTTAATCCAAACTGGAAACACATGACTTCTCAATATATTGTCTTTTGATTCAACGTGTACTCCACACATACTGTAGCCGTAACAATTCATACGATGTGCCAAAGAGAAGGAAAATCATTTCGTATTTTTTTAACTGGGTGGGAACTCTGAGCTGTATAATGTAGAAAACAAATAAAACAGAATTAAAATTAATATTGGACCAAAAAAACAGGTGAATGTCTGATAGTGGTAATAGCTCAATTAGTACAGGAATTCAGGAAATTTGCAGAGATTAAGACTCCTAAAATCATGAATGCAGACATACGAATAAGACTCATGACTGGAAACTCATGTGCATCTAAGGCCCTGTCCACATTACTCCGTGTTTACTCCGTCTTTGCTACGTTTACACTGAGCGGCCACACTACGCCTGAGTTTTGGAGCAACCTAAAGGGAGGAGTCTGAAAACTCCCCCGAGGTTGGAGGTATTTGAGAACTCCGGGGTTGCGTTTGCGTGTGGACGGTCGGATACGGATGTGCTTAGAAAAAATGACGCCCACACCCGTGTTCGCTACTGGATTGGTTCTTGTCAACCCTGGCGTCTCCGTCCCTGATTCGTCACACTCACTATCACGTGACCCGTACCCGGAAGAAAACAAACTGGGCTACCAGCGATTCATTTGGATAACTAATGGATAACTAATTGCAAGCGTTGCTTTTTAACTAAGCAAGCAATCCACTTCCTGTTTACACCGTCACGCGCATGCCCAGTGTACGTTAATGGTCACGGTCATGGTAATGTGGACAGGGCCTTTAAAACATCAAAACAGTTTTCTTTAAGAACGGGGCGAGTAGTTGATGTACAAATGGGCATTTCGGGGGTGTAGTTTCCCCTTTAAGGTCTGACAATTCCCTTGGGTTTGTGGTAAACTGAGGTGTATGTATTTTAATTTAATATGATAAAACATAAGGTATGGTTAAGACTGAGCTGTAACTAGTGACTTTATTGACAGCTTATAAGTGGCCAGGTTGTAAAAAATCCCTTTAAATGATTTTTGTCCTATTCATCGGCTACATTTAATTTTGAATCAACATTTAACAAATTGTTTATAACATGTGGTTGTAGGCAGGTGCAAGTGGTTATTAATACATTTGTCAATGACTGCAACGCTCTCTGTGGTCACCCATAGGTGGAGGTTGGTGTATAAACAGATAATGAGCGAGAATAAAGTAAAACAGCTGTAATAATCTCTTATTCATGTAGTTATTGCTGCAGGTAAAATGTCATCAATCTATTCCGTTCCATTTGGATATGACGCAATTATGAACATCGGCAACATTAATATATGCTCATGGTTTCTCTCGTTATATAATAAGACATTGTGTCTGCAGATGAAAAACTGGAACCAAATCATAAATAAAAGGTCATTAGATAGTTTTATTAACCTGGTAACAAAAAGTTGTTTTTGTTAAACGTTTGAACCATGTCAAGTCAATTATTTATTTTATAATTTATACATTTTCATACAAGCAGAGCTACTCCACAATCTATCCAGGTACCCCCCCCCCCCCCGGTAACTGCAAAAGCAACCCTGGCAGGGGGCAACTGGCGTTGGGCAATAAAAAGGGTCAGAAAGGCCCTATCTATGTGTCACAGTGCATGATGATTTACCAACATGCCGTTTAAGTACTCGAGTATCTGAAACACGGCAGCCTTGTAGATGAGATAAAAGGGGGAAGTCCACGACCACACCGGCCTTTTATAACAGCACGATCTTTAATTGGCAGGCAAAGGAACCATGCGACGATAAGACTTCTGAAGTTTCCTGGAAATCAAACTGCTCATCTGCTTCATCTACCACGAAGAGTTTGTGCCGGTAAATTCAGCAGGAAAGCATAATCTCTCCATCATATGCAAAAAACAAATCACCAATGAAACACTGAAGAATATATGTATTTAGAGTTATTTTGTGAGGCGTAAGATTATTATATACTTGTTGTAATGCTGTGTTACACTGAACAGGCATGCAAAGCAGTGTTTTATCAAACACTGGGTCTGTTACTGGATGTGTGTGAACGCCAGCACACAGGGCTTTGTGGTCAGTTCTTACTTGGCTGTATAACTGTTTGCATGACAGGCCTGGATGTGCAGTCGGGGCCCAGGGGTCAGCTGAAAGGTGACCCTGGTTAGTGTAACGCCCTAAATATGCTGTAAAGCATGATGGGGGGGGGGTGCAAAAGGGTTCCAGCCCCGGGGCCAAGTTAGGGTCAGCCACCCCGCTGAGGCTGACGCCGTCCTGAAAGCACCCGGGAGATTGTTGATTGTGAAGGGGCTGGAGAAGGTCAGTGGAGTAGGGGAGAGGGGAGGGACACGAGGCACACAGACATCGGACACAGGTCATGGTTCGAACTTCAAATGGTGTAACAGGATATCGGCCTCTAAGAGAGGGGATGAAAAGAGCAAGACTAAGTGGATGGATGCGTGGGGTTTTATTCATGCTGTCACAGCATGTCAACATCAACAAACACGTGAACTGTGGTGGTGGTGGGGGGGGGGGGACTGTTTATGGAAAGAAATCGTCACCTGTGCAGACTGTGCAATGCTCTTTGATACATCTATTATATTGTAATATGTTTTGATGATTTCGTTATGATTTATTAGTATACCCACCCATTTCTGACTGTTGCAAATGAAATATTTAGTTATAAAGTCTGTAAAAATAAAAAAATAGAACAGAAAATGTGGTTCCTAAATGGCTTTAACATTTAACATGTCAACTTACATCCTACATATTCATAAGCTATAATGCATGCTTATGAAAATGATCAAGGTAAACCATCCACCATTAAAACTCTCAACATTATTTATTAGTTTGTGCAGCAACAGAAGGGAAACCTATAATAACTAGGCTGCTTGTCCTTAAAGCTCAATGTGATAAGTTGACAAAACAGCTCCATCAAGCTCAAAAGGTCTGAATATGTAACAGCACACTGTTGCACTCCACATGGCGTCTGGCAGTGAATGAGCATCTGCTGCCTGGTGCTTGCAGACCACGGTGATATCTGGAAAACCCCAAATTAATATGGAAATAAAAAGAAGAAAATACATAAGTAAATAAAACCCCAAAAGTATGGAAATATAAAGACAAATAAGAAAATAATAATTGCAAGCATTTATTTATGTTATTTATATTTATTTAATAAAAAACGTTTATTTTTTACATGTAAATTACTTCTTATTTTTTCAGTGCGCACAGTAGATGCAACAGACTTCCACATACGGAGTGAGGATATTGGTGGTTTGAATCTGGAAAGGAAACATCATGGCAGAAGAAGAAGAAAAGAAATATTTACATAAATAAATATATACAGAAACAAATAAATGTGAAAATAAATGAAAATGATTAGAATTATTTTTTTTTTATATATTATTTGTATTTATATTTCCATATTTATTTATTCTTTTATTTATTTATTTTTATTTATTTTTTATTTTTTTTTTACAGAATTATTCTTTATTATGCCACTCCTAGGACTCGATTTATCGGTTTATGTGGCCATGTATTGTATAATATTCCTATGGTTAAAATGTTCCTATAGCACTTTCTCTACATACTCAGAACAGAGCAGGAGTTGACACTGAAATCCAGTTGCACAGTCTTGAGCAGAACTTTTTACTGGAGAACAACAAAGCAAATTTGCCAAAAATACAGAAACAATTTCATTAAAACAAAAAACATAGTTCACACATACATTTCTATACCTAATAATGTATGAAATCCACAGTGATTGGAAATACCTAAGTTCATATTCTGGTATTTTATACCTGAAGGGGTAAGCCAGTATTTTAGTATTGCACTTCAACAAAGTTGGGGGGCCACAAGAATGGAGGAGCAGAGGTGACATGAATCCTGGTCTCTAGTATGGGTCAAACACTGGATCCTACATTCACAAAATGAAAGTATGTAAAAAAACAGTTGACAGCTGATTGAAAGATAACCCCAATAACACCACCGGGGTTATTTATTCTTCCTCCAGAGCCACAGAAGACATACTACTGTCTCCACATACTGAGTAGTATTCCTCGTGACCAGTAAACTGTACTGAACTTATGAAAGATATTTGGAGTGCCCCTTTAAGTACAAACTTGAGTATTTTCAAAAAACAAAAAAACAGCCACTTGATACTTATACTGCACTACATTTTAGTAAACAATATTGTACATGTTGCTCTGTTACATACATCTGACAGTTCTAGTTACATTGCAGATCAATATCTTACAATCAAAACATATAATCTATGAAATGTGATGCATTCTCATGGGTCAAAATACCCAAGCAGCATGGCGGGATTGACCTGTTGCTCCCGTTAGACCCAGAGACCAACCAGTACTCCGACACTGGAGCACGACGTGGTCCCATCTGAGTGCAGCGTAAACCAACATTATGTCTTGAAACTAGATTCTGACACAAGGTCCCTCTATACAAGACAGGGCGACAAAGATTAGGTAACAATGCACTACTGTACTTTTGTGGTGCAAGTATGAAATTGTTAAAATCAGCTCTACCTTGACCAACTAAACAGCTAAATCTACTTTCATTCAACGCATCAGTAATAACAATGAAATTATACGATATGTACTGTAAGTATTTTGACTTTTAATATGTTAAGTCAGGCTGGTCTCATCCAGCATTCATAGCCTACAAAAAATAAGTTATTTGTAGATATTCCACCAAATTATTTTGCATGTTATCCACGTAAATATGGAAAAGGGAGTCTGAAGACAAAGACCGCAAATACCCACCCAGCGTGGGAGGGAGGTGAGGCGGATGGGTCCAACAAACATGGATCTCTCACCCAGGAGACCGTCGTTTCTTCCCCATTTGAAACGAGAAGTCAACGTTGATTTATTTGTCATGTAACTTGCGTAATTATTCTAACCCAAACGACAATCTATTCCTAAACTTAACTAAGTATTATTTTAAAGACACTGTGTACATGGTAAGAGCAGAGATTGATACCATACGAACCGTTGATATGAGGATACGTTGGTTAAGTGAGTAAGCATTTTGCTTGTACTCCTTGAAGTACAATTTTAAATGCAGGACTTTTACTTAAATGATGGATCTGAATATGTATTCTACGACAGGAACTCCAGCTACTGTGGACTTTATGTTGCCGTCTGAATCCTGCTGTCAAATGTGTCTTTTGAATTGACACAAGATTCAGAACAATGCGTCTCGATAATGTAAACACCATATGTTTCATCGCTGCAAATCACATGGCTGATACCAGGCACCACTGATTGTGTATGTGAAATGCTGTCTCGGCATATAGAAGCTATAGATTATATAAAATGCAATCCAACACTAAGTATTAGGCTTTACCTCCAACTCGCCATACCCAGGATTATTCCCGGAGGCACTGACTTTTTCTGCTGTTGGCTGCTGCCCCATCCCATTTACCTTCTTAAGCCAGTCCTTCTCCACATACGCTCTCACTTCCCCCACTGTACACCTTTTTCCTACATCCAGGGCCAGGAGCTTTCCGAACATCTCCATTGCCTCCGGAGTGAACTTTTTCCACAAGGGAGGGACGTCCTCCTCAGTGTTGGGTCTCTCCTCCATTTGGCACCAGTCCGCGAACTCTTGGTAGAAGTCGTCCGAGTCCAGGCAGCACTCCCAGGGGAAGTAACCTGTAAGGATGCAGAAGATAACCACCCCGAAGGCCCAGGTGTCCAGGCTTGGCTCCACGCTAAGTGGAGGAGCGGCCACTTCTTTCTGGCCCTCCATCAGGGCCATGGTACAGAGCTCCGGGGCCATGTAGGGCAGGGTTCCCGTGATGAAGCGTATCAGAGTGCCTCTCTTCTGGGCCAGTCCGAAGTCCGCCAGCTTGACCTGGCAGCAGCGATTGTCCAACAGGAGGATGTTTTCAGGCTTGATGTCTCGATGGACCAGGCCGTGGCTGTGGATGAACTCCAGAGCACTGGCGATCTGGAGGACGCAGCGTTTTACCGAAGATTCTGGGATACCCACCTAGAACAATCAGACAAAGGAGGGATGGGGCTCTTTGAGTCATTTTCAAAGGAGCCAGAATAAAAAAGTGAGCGCTCATCACAAAGCACGGCTTTAAGAAAGAAAGGAAGAATGGCAGGATCCAAATGTCCAGCCTCCAGACTTTCAGGCGTACTGTGCACAGGGTCATTGTTACAGTTAATTTCTACACAATTCACTCTTTTGTCGGCTAAAAACAAGTCTGTAGAGAGTCCATATGACCCACCATTCTGGACTATTAAAACCCTAAATATGGATTCTCCACTTAACATGTAAATTCCTTGCCGTAAGTTTTGAGGAATGCCTCTTTACCTTACCGTTCAGGACCTACGTATATGTAGGTTGTCTGACAATTTCATTTTTCTTTTTCTCTCTGCGATGTTCTTTTACAAAGGCAACATTTATACTTTGCCACATGGATAATGGCAATCAGATGCAAAACTTTATGAGCGTGTTTGGGCCGTAATATCATTAGTGCCACATCATTTCCGAATCAGACCTTGAGACGGGACGGATAGCGATTGCAGGTGATGAAACATTTCATGGCTCGATCAACGGCCGTAACCCATTCTTTGTGAATTCACCCGCAGTCTCTGTTTTTGCCAATGTTTGACTCACCTTCGGCTGGATGACAGCAAACAGGTCCCTTCCGATGACAAGCTCCTGGGCGAAGCAGTAGTGCTCATTGGACTGGAAGGCGATGCCAAAGAGGCCCACGATGCAAGGGTGGCAGGACAGGTGTAAGGAGATGCAGTACTCTCGCAGAAAGCCCTGCAGCTTAGTCGAGGCTTTGGGCATCACTTTCAAGGCCATGGGAGTTCCTGCAGATCATAGTTTACGTTATTATTATCACTGTCCATGCACATCTTCTTTGTCTTACTAGAGAAACTGAGTCAGTAATGCCTCTTCAGCGAAACTGTGCTGTATACTCTAACGGTTTGCATTGGCTGGAAAGTCTTGGAAAGGTATTGGTTTTTCACAGATTGGACTGCACGCTCATTTTTGGGATTTTCAGCGCATCTACGTAAAATTGTAACTGTAACAGTAAAAAAAAAAAAGACATTTCTTGTCTAAATAAATGTCTACGTTCTTGCTTTGTTCTGGAGGGAAAAGAGGGCTTCGAATGAGCAAATGTAAAACATTTCATTACATGATTAAATGACTGTAATTGGTGATGGAAAATAAGGAAATTACTACAAGGTCATTCTCCGCTGGAAGAGATCAAAAATGGAAATGCGGTCATACCCCTGAAGCGATGTGTGACCAGTAGCACTTTGCCGTATTTCCCTCGGCCGATCTCCTTGATGATGTTGAAATGTTCCTGGATCTCCAGCTGACCGAGGCTCTGTGCCGTCAGCTCTATCAGCTCGTCAATCAGGCTGCCGTCAGCGAGGCCCAGCTCAATCATCTCTACCCATACACGGACAGGACAAAACCAATACTCACACAAATCTTAGGAGTATGAACACACACAGATTTTTGACTACCTACCTACATTGTACCAAAAAAAAATCCAGCATTTTTTAACAAATCACTTCCTGTCAGTTGCTTTCCATTTATATAAAATGGTCACTAAATAAAAACCATGTCAATAAATGTCATAAACTCTGGCACCGTGAAGCTCAAACAATATTATCACGTCGTCTTCACTCGACCATCTTCCAACGTGGCTGATTGGAACAAGTTAATACTTTTGATTTTGGACTTGGTCAGACAACACGTCGTACAAACTAGTTCCGTTTGAGTATAATCCGTTCGAGCATAGCCCAACCCTAAGAACTATCTAAGTGACAAAATTGCAATAGTATTTCATTATTAATGTCCCCAATTACACAGACAATTTACTTGATTTTTTGTTCATGGAAGAACATGGGCCTTGTATAGCAAAGCTGCTTGTTTAAATAACTGACTTTCCTTACAGTTTTGACACAAGGACATTTTCAATGTTGAGATATTTGTATATACTTCCAATCATTCTCTTTTACCCCAAATTCTTAATTTCAGCACTAGTCTAGTGCAGACTTAATGAGTATGCCACAAATACACATATCACAAGTGCATTTGGCAAATATAACCTTGAATCCTTAAATTCTTGAATAATAATAACAGCAAAGTGTACTGATGATGTATAAAGACATTTAAGTTTGTGTTTTAGACACATTTGGCTGGCGGTAATTTGTCCATAATTGATAAAAAAAAAATCAAAAATGCATTTTATAATATATAACATTTTGTATCATATTATAACATACGTATTGTGTTATCCTGTTATTAAAATTTGCTATTAATAACAGTAGCAGTAATAGCTTTCAATAGTAGAAGTATTGGACATTACGTGATATTAACCATGATTAAATATTGATCAGTTTCACGTCTTACCTCTTTTCAATTGGTTCCCAATAAAGTCACTGGAGTCTGAAAACACACAAAAGGACTCACACCACCATGCTAACAGGTGGCAACATCCAGTTTATCAATATGTAGTAGAAGTGTCAGTTGAACGTCTGTCCTGTCCGTCCTCCACCTTCACTGCTGCTGCTGCTGCTGCTGCATGGATCCGCGTGCAGAGTGGACCTGGGAGCTTTTCACTGCCCAACACGCAGCTCTGCTCTCAACTGCTGCGATGGGGACAGAGCCCACTTTGACAGCTGATTATAAACTGCCCCTGCATAGGGCAGACACACACACACACACACGCACACACACACACACACACACACACACACACACACACACACACACACTGGCCTATATACATTATAATCAGCTGCACACATATAGATGTAAGTATATGTAATGCATATGCATATGAAAAGCATTGGCATAAACTTTGACACAGATATCAACTGTCATGGGTTGGTCACCACGATGTAATAAGCTCATGCACACACACACACGTGGATGTTTGTTTTTTTTTAAACTGGATTAAATTAATAAAACAATGATCTTTAAGTACTGTAAGGAAATACTAAAATTGAATCCCTAAAATTGAGCAAATGTGTCATTTCTTTTCCCGTCTATATTTTTTTTAATCTCAGACACGTAAAATATTTTACCTCAAAGCATTTCCAGATGTGCGATGTAACATTTATTCAAGTGCTTGGTACAAATTTGAGGTACTTGAACCGAATGTTTCATCAGAAGCTACACTTTGTTATACACACTACTTTATAAGTTAAGAAAAAAATATGATCTCATGAATTGTTAAGAAGAAGCTACTAAAGAGTTTATAAAATATGTAAAATGAGCTCTATATTGATCCAAAACTAAAGCAGTGAAATCAGGGGTAGAGTGCTGTTTGTTTAAGTACCGGAGGGCCCCCATCATGGGGCCCCATGTAATGACTGTTCAAGTTTACATACATCAGCCAACTATAACAGACCTTTCGTCATATTGAGAATATTATTCTGAAGCATCGTCAAAGGCTACCGGCAACTTTTAAAGTGAATATCTTTCGCATGTTACTTAGTGTATTAGTTGACGTTGTGAATCAATCAACTCAACTTAAATGTCAATATGACAACTTTGCCCGTTCCATTTCTTTTTATTGGCTCTCTTACATGACATAGGCTTTCGTGACGACTGGATCTTTTAGCACCTAAATCATGTATGTGACTAAAGCATGCATGTGACTTTCCACCGGATATTCCTCACTTAAAAAAGTGAAAAAAAAGTTGCGTTTGGTGCGCTCCAGCAGCATTCCGCCTATGAATAAAATGCTTATTTTTGATACTTTTAGTACTTTTAACTACTATGACTACTTCTGATAGTACTTTTAGTAATTAACATCTTCAATACAGTGCCTAATTATTATTTTGATCTGTGTACAGTGTAGTAATGCTACTTTTACTTCAGTAAATTATCACAATTTTCCTCCATTATTCCACCTTTGACCTCTTTGCAGGGATTTCTTGCCACTTTGCCACCACTGAGCTGAGATCTCAAGTCTCAGTAAATACAACACATGGGTCTAATGCTCTGATTAGATTACACACAGACAAACACTCACACCTTGCAAGGCTCCTGCCACACCGTGGTTTAGTCAGCATTAGGAAACTTAAACACTGGTACTGTAATACTAGTGTCATCCCACATTTGGTCAGAATCATGTTCTTGTGACGCTGTGGCTTTATAATTTTCAGATCTTATGAAAGAAATAATAGAATATGAGCATTTCTGGAGAGCACTAAACTTTTACAGTTACCGAAGAAAAGCAAATACAAGTTGATGTGGAAGGAAATGAAACATCCTATCCTGCAACAACACTGATGTTAGTCCACCACTTCGGTCCACCACCACTTAGGTCCATTGGATGGATTGCCTTAACATTTCTCTCAAATGTTCGTGGCCCTCAGAGGATGAATCCTACTGCCTTTGATGCTCCCTTGAGTTTTCCTCAAAGAGCCACCACAAGGTTGATATTGTTTTTTTATTGAAATATCTCAAAACATTTGGATTGATTGCCATGAAATTTGACATACATGGTGCCCAGAGGATGAACCCTAATGAATTTGGTGACACTGATGTTTCATCTATCACCATCAGTCATGGTATCGAATACTTTGGTTTATGACCAAAACCTTTTGACTAAAGCACTGCCATCATTGTCTGCTGTAATTTCTGTTTAGTGCTAATTAGCAAATGATGGCATACTTACATGCGAAACTAAGATGAAGATGGTAAACATTACACCAGCTAAACATTCGCATTAGCATTGTCAAAGTTTCTAAGTAAATACTAAATGGACTTTGTATTTATATATATCTCCTTTCTCGACTGCTCAAAGCACTTTATACTACATGTCAACATTCACACAAGCATTCTTACACTGATGGCAGAGGCTGCCATGCACGATGCCAACCCTCCCATTAGGATCTAATCTAAATACACACATTCACACACATGACACAACCATCATCCAATCAGTGGAAGACTAGTTCAAACTCCGAGCCACAGCCGCATCATCCTTAAGCCAAGTTCAAACTAAACAGCCTTTAACTTTGTCTAAATACCTTAGGATTATTTATTTATTTATTATTTGTTTTGGTGAAGCTCTTTTTAGATAAGCATGTCGAGGCTTCAACGTAACAGGGTCAAACAATACAAGATCTTTCATCAGGAGTAATCCCTTTCTTTCCAAGAAATCTGCGTAACTCTCCTTGTATTTATGCTTGTCGTTGGCACATATATGTCCACAAAATACCTGTTCTCACTTATACATCCATGGTTTAAACACGTCTTTACTATTTCTTCTCGGCGCCACAACAACTTTGGTCATTGTTGCAAATGTAACACATACAGTAAAGTTCCTGATGTTACAGGCCACCCCTCCCCCAGACATTTAACCTGCTAGATATCTGGGATGCGTCTGGGAACAATTCACATAAATGGCACTTGAGCACCAATTTCCGTGTTCCGATGGTGTGAAGTAGGCATTACAGAGCTGTTAGCATGGATGAGACTTCCTGTCTTGTTAGGTTTTCTTTGTGTGTTACCTCTGAATAGCATCATCTCATCTGCAAACAAATTCAGATAAAGGAGGAATGCGAGACGCAATCAAAAGCTCAGGCTTGTTGTGAGAGTGTCCAAGATTTCTTTAAAAGTCTTCCAAGTCTTTGGAAGAGCCAGACTCTGTATGCTTTTTCAATTTTATGCCAACCTCCAGGCATAATGCTCATAATGTTCATCATCTACACTGTTGCAGAGAATTGCACGAAAGGCTCGAAATGTAACACTGATTATCAAACAATGTTTTTGCAGCACAGGATAAATAGGGATGTGAGAGTAACATTGAATGCTTGTTGATTAGAACTTTCCACTTCAACACATGGCCCTGAACTGGAAGCCATGAATGCACTCAAGCTGTGGCACTCACACAGACAAATCCCCTGAGGTGTCGCCCACAACTCGGGCAGGCCTAATGGGGTGTTGTCTGCACCTGTGTGCGAGTAAGTGTGTCGTTGTCTGTGAGTGCGTGTGTGTTGGCCTGTGTTTCGTTTACAGCTAATTCACTCAACACTGTGACCTCTGCTAGCTATTCTGCCCACATGAGCAGGACTACCGGTACAAAGAAACAGATACTTTGGTGTGCTGGTCTCTACAGGGCTGTGGTGGGTTAATGAGGTGTCAGTCACATACAGTCCAGGGCTGTTGGCTTTCACTGAAGCTACAAAGGTCATTTTGTTGGAAATAAAGCGTAGATTCTTTTGGGTGACCCATCCAAGGAAAGTGGTCAGACAAGGTTTTACATTTTTAAAACAGCTAATTATAGTCTGAGACAAAGTTTAGATCCACCTTTATGTATCTATTTTTTTCTACTACATGGATCCTAAAAGCATCCTGTTATGTTCTGTAGCAGTCCACCAACATCAACCCTCCCGAGTGCTCAGTCAGGCTGTGTGAGGCTGCTGTGATTGAAGTTGTGTTGTGGACGTGTTATGATGTTTTTGATCATCATGTTACGCTGTCACCACAGACATGGGGTCACGTCATATTTGGGATCTTTTACATCGCAGGATGGTGCAGAGTCTTCGAGGAGCCAGACGGGGTCCATATCCCAACTTCCCATCCCATCGCCGTACCACTGCTGTCCTCATAGTTTCACTGGTATGGAATTACTGAGCTGGGACAGACCAGGAGTTCTTGCAGTTCCTTTGGCAAACATTTTGAGATCAATTAGTTTCAGCTGTCAGTGCAGGGATATCAGTGAGCAGAGTATTGCTATTTTCCACTATTAATATTGGGGAGGCATTCAAAATGTTCTTGTTTTTGACATGTGGAAATGAAGCCAAGACTATCAATTCCAAAACAAACTGGAGGGAATATCAAACCCAACTGATGATTGCTCCACCCACCACATCATGGAAAGTTCATCAGGAGAAATGGGGCCTAACGTGTGCCTAATTAATCAGCTGGGGTGTCTTCAAGTTCATAGTGCCCACAGTTCTCTGAAGAAATCTGTGAATATCTTACAGGAACACTTTATGTAGCATTACAAACAAGCATAGTTTCCCAAATGTCAGACTCTTGTGTGAATCTTGTGTGCAGGTGTAGAAGTAGATAAGACATGGTGGTTTCCAGGACACTTTCATAGCATATGTCCTGCTTCCAATCTCAATAAGAATAAATCAAAAAACAGGGCTGAACTGTAGATCTACAGCAGAGTAAGGAATCGAACATTGTTTTTTTATTCTTTATATATATTTTTTTGTTGTTTATTTTACATTTGTGTTTGTACATTGAGAGCGGAGTGGAAACCGGAGTCAAATTCCATGTATGCGTAAGCATACATGGCCAATAAAGCTGATTCTGATTCTGATTCTGAAGCGTAGTTCTACCAGAGGCAGAGTGCTCTGATGGACATTTTAATACTCTCTTCACCGATGACTTAACCTTGCACGGCAGCTGGATTCTCACAATGTCACG